CCCCAAAACCCCAAAACCCCAAAACCCCAAAACCCCAAGAGTGCATGTAAAATAAAATAAGGAAATATGTATTAAAAGTAAATTATAACTGCTTAGAAATAAAGTTTATAATTAATAAATTTGAAAATGGTTTCAAGATAGCAAGCAAATTACGAGAAGCTTTTCCAATTGGCTGTGCCTCTTTACTGCCCAACTGAAGATTAGGATGGTAATCTCTACACGGTTTCAACCAATGGAGATGTTTATTAAGTAACTGAAGGACAAATGGAGGTTGCTTTCACTACAGGAGGTCAGCCAACAGGTTTAGTCTTCGATATGCAGGGTTCATCTTTTATTGCTGATCAGGCTCATTAAGCTATCTTGTCATAGACTGTTACTGATAATCGTATCGAAATAACTCCAGTTATTAAGGACTTCGATGGTAATGCCCTAAAGGGTCCCAATTCTATGATCTTATCAGAAAAGAACAACGCTCTTTTCTTTACAGATTCAGGTCCAATGGGTGAAACCTCACTTGAAAACGCTACTGGCTCAGTTTTTGCAATAGATTTAGGAGTATCAATGCTTAAGCCAGTAATCTACAATAAATTAGCATATCCAAGTGGTCTCGCTTTATCTAATGATGAGAACTTGATCTACGTATCTGAGACTTATGCCAATAGAATTTTGAGAATAGTTTGCCATTCCTCAGGTGTTTATCATACTTCAGTATTCCATCAATTCTCAGGGCGCCTGGGTCCAACTGCATTAGCTATGCACCCATCTGGAAGATTATACGCAGCACGTTATGATTTCAATGAATGCTCAAAGAATGGAGTCATTTCTATCCTCAATGAAAATGGAGAACTTGAGGGAGAACTATTAGTGCAAGACTGCCCAGAGATTACTGGATTATACTTCTCTAAAGTGCAAGATGATATTTTATACGCCACCGAGAGCACATCGAACTCACTTCTCAAGATATAGGTTAATCAAAACAACTGAATAAATAGTTTTTCAATCTTATTTAAAGTATATTTACTTAAATTATGTTAAGTTTGTTACATTGAATAATTTTTATGTATAGTTTAAAATATATACATCTAATCGATCAAATTAAAGTCATTATATTCTGTTTATCTTCATCAATGATTTTTAAGGAATCTATCAACAGTATTAATCAGGTATGGATGCTTCTTAGTCATTTCCTTGACTATCATTAATGAGAAAGCAAATTTCTATAATGCATCTTACCCTGAGAGGTATTATTCAAAATTTTAAGCTTTTATGCCTTTTCTCTAGGGTGTGATAGATTTACTATGAGGCTATAATATCAATTACTACCAACTGAGTTAACTACATCTTACTGAATCAGTCCCTGCAATATTCTGATCAAATATCTAGCTAGTCAGAATACTATCCTAATTGAAGTTATTAGCTGGGAGATTTGTATTATTTTCATCTTTAATTTTGGAATTTAGTTGATTTATTGACTGGTCTATTTTCTACTTAAGATGTATAACTTAGGAATTTCTATACTAAGGCAGAAGATGATTCTTTTCTAATACCTGTGTATTACAACTCGAAATAAAGTTTTTTTCTTCGAAGGAATCTTCAATGCCTTCCTCACTTAGGTATCTATTCTGATCATTAAAAGGGGAGAATGCATGACTACTTGGAAGACATGAGCCCTGCACTTTTTCAAGTTTCAGGTTATTGAATACTAATGAAGTATTATTAGTTACATCACCTACCATAGACAGTGAATAGTTATTAGAAATCTTTGTATCCTTAAGGCGATTATTTAAATTAGTTCCAACTAATTCATCTATATCTTTAACATATTACACATTAAGATTAAGCAGCGAGTCATCCTTATTCTCAGATTATTTCTTGCTACTTTTAGGTGTTTTCTGGCCTGTTTTACTCCCATATTTTGTAGCTTACTTATGAACATTCAATGTATTTGAGTTTTAATACTTGCTTATCTATGTTTTGATGTTTTTGCGTTGAGGAGTTTTACTTTTAGAGTTTACCTAGATGATTGAGTTAGGCTTCTGTTGATTGGTGACTCTCGAGGTTTAAATTGACTTGAGATTGTACGGGAGACTTATCTGCTTTACTTATTGATTTTTACTAGTTTAGATAATACTGCAGCTTCTACCCTCATTAGAGCTATTTCTTTGGGATTATTTAGCGAAACTAGGGCTTTTATCAAGACTTCTCACGCTAGTCTGATTATAATTTTGAAAATTTGACATTGATGGAGTCATCGCTCTCTATGTTAATAATTATCGAGAACTTGTAGTATTATTACTCTGTAAAGGACTCTTCTTCATTGATTGAATTTGTTTAGGTTTAATATGAGCATTATGATTTCTCGCTCTCTATGAGTATATGGTATTTGTCTAGCTAATATTTGTGCTTTAATTGCTCTCATAGGGTATGTTTTCCTTTGCATGTTAATTACTCAATCTCCTTTAACTCTATTAGCCATCTAGCGTCAAGGTTATTTGAATCTTTGGAACAGACATCTGAGTTTTGAAAATTGGCTAATTACTTGATAAAGTTTAGTTCTTAAAATATTGGTGATCTTGATTTGAGTTGTGGTCCAAAGTTATCTATCTCATCTGTCTTGAATCATCCTTTAAAATAAAGTTCTTAACATCAGTGTCCTCTTCAGAACTGAAACAGCCCTTTTCGTTATTTTATAGTGAGTAATCTGAACTGATATTCTATTATTCGATTTCTTCTAGCATCTATTTTAGGTTTTAGAGTTTACTGCTTTCTTAAGTCATAAGCAGATTAACTAGTTATTATTTATCAGCATTCTTCATTTATTCTTATATCAGATAGTCTTAGATTGAAGAAGTCTAAGAAGACATCAGTTCTTATTTATGCTTGCATTCATACGTTTTAAGTAATAGTTGATGTCTTGGTTCTTAATCCTTGGAATTGAAATCAGCCATTCCGCATGTGCCACTCTTAAAATAGTTATTTTGATCCTAAGCACACTGCTAATTACTTGCGAATTTACTACTATTATAATGTTGGAAGGTAACATTATCCTATTATTAGGCTATTAGATTGCCTTTTACCGGATTCTAATTCATTTCATCGCTGATCTTTGATTCATTTTGTGGCTAATAGTTCAACATACTTTCAAATTACTTATCACCAAATGATAAGAAGTAATCTCTGTTATTATTGTGCAATTCATTAATTGTACTATGATTGCTATACTCAAAGTCTTTATTTTATCCATCATTTATTCTGTCTTCATGATCTGACTATTTTATTAGCTTTTACTATATTTTCTTATGGTTTGCTCTTCTTCTCTAGTTTTCTTATCTGAGTTGATCAGCTGTTTAACTCTGCTAAAGTGACTTAGGCAGATTAGAGAAATCAAATAAACTCTTTCCACCTGCGCAAATATCAAGGCCCTCATTAGATAGTGCAATATTACTGACAGTTGGTTGAGAAACAATGCTATTTTTATATGAGTCATTTTCAAACATGTTTTTGTTACTAATAGTCACGAGGCTTCCATCACTGGGAAACTCATCTTCTTCATGACAGTTTTCAAGTTTCTTTTGATGATACTCAAAGGGATTATTAGAAAAAGATGTCACAACTATATTGTGATTTATCTAGTTTTTATCAATACTCCACTACATTACAAATTACTTAAATATGAATGTACCTGCTAAAAAGGATCAGTAGTCATTTAACAGTCTTGAAATGTAGGTAGTTTAGGTGTGTCCTAGTCAGGATTATATTTGCAGTTAATCGACATATAGTTAGGGGAGAATAATAAAATGTATAATTTGTAAATTGAATTAAACGTTCATTTATTCTTAGAAGCATTAATATCTATTTTTAATCAAGCTTAATTAAGAAATTAAAAGATTTCACTAAATTTGCAATGTTAAACTGTCTATTCAAATAATCATTTCCCAAATTTTATAAGTCAATCGAAATCGCTCATACAATTCTTGAAGAGCCAAAATAGGAAAAAAACAAAGATAGCTATGATTACTGAGGTTAGTCCTACTGCCCACCAAGGAGTATAAGATCTTCGATACATGCCATTAGTATTGGTTTTAGGAATTTCACTTCCTAATGCTTGCTAATTGAATCGATTATTCATTTTCAAGAGATCTGAGTGGTATGGCTAATCAAAAAGTATCTTCTCAATTCTATAATATTCATTTCATAGATAATGCTTACCTTTACAAAGTTTAGTTGAAAGTGACTTTTCGTCCATTCGGATCTAGTTTAATATTAGACATTTATTGATAATCGTCATTAGGCTATAGTTTCTATGGATATTTAGTTTCTTGATAATAATCTCCTTTCGAATGCAGATTTTACTATGGATTAATTTTTTGCTTTATATAAGAGGTTCTAGATTTATCGATTATATCAAACATTCCCATTTCATCTTGAGTTCTAACAGTTTGATATAGTATATTGATAGCCAAAAAAGTAAAAAATTTTGCAAATATTTACATTTTAATTTTTGCACTTTAGTTTATTTTTTAATTAGTCTAGAAGGGGTTTTGGGGTTTTGGGGTTTTGGGGTTTTGGGG